CCCCCTACTGCCGGCTCTCCAGCCTGCATGGTGTTACCCTGGAGAACTCCCCACCATGGTGCCTAGGAAACGCGGCCCCCCAGCTCTCCCCGTGGTGGCGAGGGAGGGCTGGACACAGGGCCTAGCTTTCAGCGAGCTCCAACGCGGCTGCGGGCACTCACGTCACCACCGCATTGGGGTTCTTCTCCACAGCGTAGATCTTCACCCGCCGGCTGGCCTGGCGGGCCCCGGCCGGCCCCCAGCACCATCACCACCCTGGGGGGCACACAGGGAGGTTAGGGGGCAGCCCGCTGGGAGTGGGGGGTGCCCCCCTGTGGGCGGGCAGCACCGGGGGGTGGGGCAGAACTTACTGCACGTTCGTCTCCTTCTCCTCCTCGGGCACCCGGTCCAGCAGGCACTTGTAGATCGCCTAGGAGGAAGGGTGGGGTCAGTGGGGGCTGTGCATTTCCCCCCATTCCCCCCCCCATTGCCCCATTCTCTTTCCCCTGGCTCCTCCCAGAGCCTCGCTCCCCCTCACCTGCTGGTACTGGGAGTATTTGATGGGGTCCTTCTCAAAGACCTCGTAGGTCTGGGACTCCAGGTTGTCCATCAGGGGCTGCGGGGAGGGGGAGGGCAGCATGAGGGGGGTGAGGAGAACTAAGGTGCCCCCCACAGGGACGTGCACTCTGAACCCCAACGATGGGCCCTAGGAGTCACCTTCACGGGGAACGAGCCAACGCCTCCTGGTTACAAGCTGTTCACTCTGAAACCTAACGACCCAGAGAACGTTCGCTCTGAACCCCAACGCTAAGGAAGCAGCACTTTTGCTGTGCCGAGCGCACCGCGCCTTGCTAGTATGTGGTGTTCACTCTGAAACCTAACAATGGGCGTACTGGTCCCATATGGTTCGGGGCATGTTCACTCTAAAACCGGTCGTTAACCATGAGCCCTACTGATGACACATTGCTGGCTGCCTCCGGCAGATGATGTGCCGTTAACCCTGAACCCTACCGATGACGCATTGCTGGCTGCCCAGGCAGATGATGTGCCATTAACCCTGAACCCTACCGATGACGCATTGCTGGCACCCCAGGAGAATACTGTGCCGTTAACCCTGAACCCTACTGAGAGAGTCATGGCCCAGAGTGCAATTGCTTACCTGCAGGGGGGACTGTAGATAGTCCTCATAGCCTTTGGCAAAGAGCTCGTAGGCAGAGGGGGGGGGCCGGTTCTGGCTCAGGTACTCAAGGTACTGCAGGTAGGAGCAGAACTCCTTCTCCGGGTGATGGTGGGCGCCCCACACGATGAACTGCACCTCCAGCTGTGGGAGAGGGGTCAGACAGGCA